CCCGCGCCAACACGCACCCGCTGCTGGCCAAGGCCAAGCCCCTCAGCAACAGTGGTAGTGCCTCTGGGATAACGTATTCAAGAAGGGGAAAAAAGTTGCTGGGACACAGAAACTACAGCCGGAGAGAGGAGTGAGAACATGTGAGAGAAACAACCCTGCAGACACCAAGATCAGTGAAGAAGGAGGTGGAGGAGATGCTCCAGGCGCCAGAGCAGAGATTCCCCTGCAGCCCGTGGGGAAGACCATGGTGAGGCAGGCTGTCCCCCTGCAGCCCAGGGAGGTCCACGGTGGAGCAGCTATCCACCTGCAGCCCGGGGAGGACCCCACACCAGAGCAGGTGGATGCCCAAAGGAAGCTGTGACCCCGTGGGAACCCCACGCTGGAGCAGGCTCCTGGCAGGACCTGAAGATCTGTGGAAAGCGGAGCCCACGCTGGAGCAGGTTTTCTGGCAGGACTTGTGACCCTGTGGGGGACCCACGCTGGAGCAGTCTGTTCCTGAAGGACTGCAGCCCATGGGAAGGGCCCACATTGGAGAAGTTTGCAGAGGACTGTCTCCCATGGGAAGGGCCCCACGCTGGAGCAGGGGAAGAATGTGAGGAGTCCTCCCCCTGACAAGGAAGGAGCGGCAGAGACAAGGTGTGGGAAGCTGACCCCAACCCCTGCCCCCTGTTCCCCTGGGGGGGAAGAGGTGGAGAGAACCAGGAGTGGAGTTGAGCTGGGAAGGAGGGAGGGGTGGGGGGAAGGTGGTTTAAGATTTGGTATTACTTCTGGTAATACCAAACCCTACTCTGGTTTGGTTGGCAATAAATTAAGTTAATTTTCCCCAAGTCAAGTCCGTTTTGCCTGTAACGGTAATTAGTTGAGGGATCTCTCCCTGTCCTTACTTGACCTACGAACCTTTTGTTGTACTTTCTCCTGTCCAGCTGAGGAGAGGGAGTGATAGAGCAGCTTTGGTGGACATCTGGCACCCAGCCAGGGTCAACCCACCACACTATTATACTTGACATTCTCAAGAAGACAGTGTAAGAGACGTTACTGAAGTTTGGTGATCCCTTTCAAAAGGGTAACAGAAAAGCAAAAGGATCTTTTAAATGGAGCCTCTAAAAGAAACAATCATCTGAGAAGAGAAAGCAGTTAGTAACCACCATACTTATTTCCTGTGCCTAACACAGAACAGAAAAAAAAAGCTGAGAACAGCTGCTGATGCTCAGACCAGAACTGCTACCTTCAAGGTACTTCTCTTCATTTAAGCCTAAATAAAGCAAGGCAATTTGAACTTAGTTTATGGTGGGAGAGAAAGCATATGAAAATAAAAACTCACTCATACAGAAGTGCAAACTTCTACCATTTTCAGGTATTTTAAACAGCCAACCTTTTAAAGCATCCTTTATGTTCTCCGTAGATGGAAATGGAATAACCTCAAACTCCCTAGGAAAAAATCTTGGATCCATCAAACATACCACAGTAATTTTAAGTCAAATGGAACAGCAACAAGGGACAGCCAAAACATGTCAGATTTATAACAATGAAGCAAGAGTTCAGTTGCTTTGCAACCACTGCTGTAAGACTAAAACAGACAGAGGGCTAATCTGCCTGCTGCAGAACTTCATTTGCTAACAAAGAGATGGGAATAAGGAAGCTCTTCCCTCTACCTGCAAACACAAGGTGTATTCAGAAAAAAAAAAAGTGTGTTAGATGTTTTTAGAAGCCTTTCAGCTACTACATTTTTAAGTTGTGACCTAATGACAAAGTCAACCAGGAAACTTCTCTTGCATAGGCACAGCAAGCACTAATAGTCTTAGCATTAATCTCTGTTCACACTCCTTAATTAGTAACTTATAACTTTTACTGTGTCAGCCCCCAAAACAAGAAAGCTTTTTCAAAGCTGTTCTTTAAGGCTAAGTCTGAAAATTTACAGATAAAGACTGCAACTTTACTACACAGAATGCCAAATCCTCGCCATTAGGTCATTCTTGAAGACAGAAACACAAAACCAAGAACATTTACAGAGTCACTAATAATAAAGAACTCAACAAATTCAGCCTCTAACACAGCACTACGTTGCACTAGCAACCCTCATAATAAAGGGAGGAAAACATTATGGAAGAGAGGAAGAAAAGGCTGGAACAGCCAGTGAGCTAAGCTGGCAAGAGAGCCAAGTCCCAGCTGTCAGCACATTACTCACCAATAAGAAATGTGGTGAGCAGAAAGCTTGCAAGCTCAAATTCTGTCATATTAGAATATTGTTAGGAGTCAGTCAGCAAGGAACAGAAAGTTACATGTGAAGGAAAAAAAACCCAAAACAAACAGCACCAGAGATCATACAATGATCTTTGTGTTAAAGAAATCTGGATTTGCCCATCAGCTAGATTGAAGCTTTCATTAGTTGCCACATTTTTAGAAGACATGTACACTACTCCCCTTTTTGCAATATTAGAATATTGGTTTAGATGCATCAAGAATAGTGGCGGTAAGCAGTGCTGGATTTAAGCTGACATCTACTGCAAGCACCAAAAACATTTCGTTTCTAGCCTCAATTGATCATTTTCAGTTCATTCCTTATATAAATTTGCTATTCATCAACTTTTTGACAGAATCTACATACTCTTTCATTCAAAGAAATCTGCAACTAACAATTCTCTTATACTCATTCTGCAGCCCAAACGGCTTAGCCAAAGAGTACATGAACTCAGAATAGTTGTCAAAAAATAATGATCAAGTGCAAATAAAAATATAGATGAAATTTCATCTTACAATAAAAAGTCTGGCTTGTTAGGTAACACAGGAAATTAAAATCTTTGTTTACACATATATAAAGTGTTAGATACATACATGTAATATATATAATGTATATGTACTTACATATACATATATACCTACATAATCATAAAGCCAAGTTTATAAGGTATAGAATGCCTATCAAGTAATTCAGATAAATGTAAAAGTCTTAAATTCTGAAAATGCTCAGCCAAGATAAGTATCACTAACTAATGTGCCTAAACAGAAATTCAGATGCTGGGGAAAGAATGCAGCAGGGGGAAGGAGAGGAAAGTGACCCTCAGGCAAAGATGCTTTGTCCCAAAACAACAACAACAAAACACAGGCTCACAATCCTTAGTTCACATTCCTTGGTAACAGACAATCAGAGCCTGCACTAGCTCAACTCAGTAAAAATGTCATGATGCATTCTTCATGAAAGTAACAATTAATGAGTGACTGGAAATTACATTTAATACATCCATTTAACAATGACTAAGAAAACCTTTCAAGAAATGCCCCACATACACTCCTTAGTATTGACACACATGAGGACACAGTAGCACTAGGTCACCAAAGCACAGCTCTGAGGGGCAGATTACCTTTCCAGCCTGGCTCTGGAAATGGACTTTGCTCTTATTGATCAAAACTTTTGATTACTTTCTCCTTAACGGAGTTGAAGAGTCATTCCCTCCTCTCCCCTCAGCATCTGGGATGTTTGCTGAAGAGATCTGCAAAACTAGAGGGACTAAAGCTACTTCAACAGAGACTCATGTTAAAATCTGAAAAGAATCCCCAAAGAGAAGAAGCTAAAATACAGATAGTCTGAAGTAGTTGACTTTCTATTCACTTAGTAACTCCTGTTACAGTCACTCCAATAGTTGCAATTACCAAAATCCCATTACCTTAAATCCTCTCTGCATTTTTACTTCACAGCTGACAGTAAGAAAAGTGTTAAGCGGTCATTCAATATCCTTCAGCTGATGAATGGCAACTCGTTTAGCCATGGTAACACTTTTGATATCCAAAGGATTAATCCCTCTTATTGAATTCTGTTTAGTGAAATGGAATTTCATTAAACGAATCTATACTAACTTTCCTCTAGTTATCTTGAAATAAAACCGAGTACTGAGGATTTCATTTTTCAGTCTTGAAAGATCCTCACACTTATCCATGAAATGTCAAAAGAACTACTGAGTGCTCTTTCCAGTATTAAAACCTCACTTATCCTTCAAGTGCCCTATATTAATATCAGGCTTGAAATCAGCCCTTTTGCTGTGTAGCCTGCAGCAACCACATTCTTCAGGGAAGGTTAGTTACTCAGGCAGCAGGCAAGTACAGCACCCTGCAGTACCTCCACAGCATGAAAGTCACACCTACCCATTTACGGTGTCTATGAATTAATGGCAACCCTCTCATGAAAGAGCCAGAAAAGGATTTGTCTACTACAGCACCTTTAGCTACACTTGCCTATAAACACAAAATGTATGCAGGTCAGAAATCAACAGAAACTGTGGATAGTAACCACAGGGATAAATCCACTCCAAACATGCCTAAAACATGAAACCAAGCCTTTTCATTTTACAGCTAAAAATAGAATACTACCAGTGTACACTGTCTCGAACAGCAAGAGGCAGCTTTGTCCACAGCCATTATTGAAAATATTTCTTTTTGTTTTCTTGCACTGCAAAAACGTGTAACTTTGCACCATTCTCCACACAGGACACACTTGATTAATAGGCTTACACCCAGTAGTGTAAGGAGAACCACACCAGTTGAAAGGATACATAATGTTACCATGTCAGAGGTGGTCCTCCTGGTGCAATCTGAGAACAGAAATTAACAAATTCACGCTATGGATGTGCATCAGCTCCCAAAGTGGTCATTCTAGCCCAAGACAGATTGCTTCTAGGCAGCAAGACAGGCAAGGGATCCATCTATCAGAGCAGGGCCAGAGTATCTTCTCTGGCAACATCTGCCTGATACTGATGCCACTAAAGGCCCAGCTGCATTTATTCTGCCCAGCACAGAATGCAGCTTCACCAAAAGCCAATTCCTCTTGGTTCTGCTGCTTGCTCAGCTGAACAAGGTTAAAATACATATATAGGCTTAAAAGCAAAAAAACTGCTAGGAAAAAAAGCATACTAAAAATAAGCAACCTTCCTCCACCTAAAACCAACCCTCGGCTGTAGATGCAGATAAACTATAGATGATTCAACAAAGCATTTTACTAAGCCTTTGTTAGAACAGTATCTCCGGGGGGGGGGGGGGGGTTTGTTTGGGGGACTTTTTTTTTTTTTGGGAATACTCTGACCTCACACAAACCACATGTTATTAAGGTCTGCCTTCACGTTCAAAATGGCTCAGAAACCAGCACCAAAATCAGTCCTAGCATGGATAATCCATTTTTGAGTATTATGGCAGAAACCACAATGGAAATGAAACTGTAGCAACTTATGCCAGGTCATCACCAAGTCACTCTCACACTCACCTCGTGTTAAAACACTACAATTTTTCACCACAGTTAAAAGCATATACAGGAGCTCCCTTCTCAGCAACAGCTAGTACGAAGGGCGCATCTGAACAGTCTACTTAGATAAGCACTTTTGTAAAAGGACTTTACTTTCTCCACATGAAGCAGCTCCTTTCCTAGGCATTTATGTATCTCAGTGACAGACTAAACTAAACACACCATTGAAGTCTCCAAACAGAGCAGTGCCAGCTCATGCACAACATAATTATCATTTATATTTTTTCCTGGCCATTCTGGTCTTGTTATGAAGTGAGTTAGTTCACTGAACACTCTCCCAATAAAATCTGCTGAAAAGAAAACATGCTCTATTCCATAATCTCTCTGAGTCTGACTTGTATCCAAGTAAAACACTGCAATGATCAAGAGGGATTTATTTTGGTGCAAGACAGCTGAAGTCAGAGAAATCATTACAGCAAACAATTTTTGAATGCACATGAAAATCAAAGTGACAGTATACAGGACATACAATAGCCTAATGTGCAAGTCCCTGCTTAAAATCAAGTTTGTTTTGACACCTCTGCTGATGCTGTGCCAGCCAGTAGCAGTACTATCTATCACTTCAGAAAATTCACGTTTTTAGAAGAAGAAACCTTACTTTCTAAACATGGTTTACTTTTCCTGCAACTTTATAAAGATTTTGTCTGACATTTAAACAAATCCTGCATTTAAAATCCTCATGATTTGATGCTGACATTTTAAACTTCTCTGAAAAGGAAGGGGGGTTTCTCACATGTGCTCCCACAACCTTGAACCCAAAGAACTCCCCATCGACCATTTTCTCTGCTGTGTCAAACCAACCCCGTACAGGGCCAGCTCAGCACAGAGTTAATGCAGTAAGCTTAGAATGAGACTCCAAACGCTCATATGATATGCTCCCACTTACACTTCAAGCTACATCTCTGGTCACCAGCTGCGTGTCAACAGGCAGCTCTCAACAACCAAGGGCAGCTCCAAGGCACTGCGCAATATTGCAGGAAAGCAAAAATGAATAAAGCACTCTCCCAACAACCCCACTCTAAGCACGAATGCCATCCTAACCACCTCTTTTATGGGACAGAGGATGCTGAAAAAGAAAGACAAGTATTCTGCTCCGACTCTCCAAAGACCTGGTGTTGGGTCAGAAAAGCCACCCGTATCCAAAAACCACTCACGAGAGCCTCTTACACTGAAAGCAGCCAGGATTAAAACCCGAGGGGCAGAAAGCTCTGTGCTCCAGAGGAAAAGGAGAGAGGTGTGCGTGCGTTTGTGCGTCCTGAGTGGCATAACCAGGACAGAGATCAGAATACAGATGTGCCTGAAGAAGTGGCGACACAAACAGGGGCAAAGCACGCACGGACAGACGGGAGATGGGAAAGGAACACGGGCAGAGGAAAAAGAGGACGGAGAGCAAAGGGGGGGGGGTGTGGAAGAAAAGGCAAAGGGACTACAACCTCCTCATACGCGCTCCTCTTGGCGACAGTCTGCAGGAAAAGGCAGCGAGCCGCGGAGGCCGAGAAAGACTCGGAGCCCCACACCGGCCGGAGGGGCCCGGGCAGGGGGTGGCGGGGAGGGGGGCAGAGGCTCTCTCTCACCTCGCAGCCGCCGCGCCAGGCGCTTGGCCCAGGCCTCTCGGCGGGGCGCGGCGCCGTCGGGCGGCACCTGGTGGCGGC